CATTACTTTTTCCTACTGTTTTCTTTTTTTTTTTTAATCAAACTAAATTTATTTTATTTAGGAAGTTTGTTGTACCAGAGGGAACAAAAGGATGAATTGTAGCAAATCTGATGAATTCTTATGGGAAGATTACATTCCTGAGCCTGAGTTTATTGTTCTGTTTCATCACTGTTTTGTTACATTGTTAATTGTCATTTGGAAGTAGATTTTCCCTGTTATTAAAAAAAAAAAAAAAAAGAAAGAAAGAAAAGATTTGTTCTGTGTATCTCAGCATCTTCTTAAAGTATTCCAGTCTTTAAGTTGTAAAGAGTTGATTGGATATTAGGAACTATCAAAGAGAACCTGTACTCTTGTATCCAGGCTCTTTTTTCTCCCAGGATATAATGCTTTTAACAGCTTTCAACAAATGCTGAAATCTGTTTTCAAAGAAATCTTTGTACTAATGTATGTTTGTCCATGTAATAGACTGAAGACAGCCACATCTGGCATTCTCAAAGAAGCACATAACTACTAAACGTAATGCTGCAAATCAACTTATTTCCTTTCAAACTTCACTAAGTAATTCCAAGGAGTACAGCAAGGTTCCTTATCATATATGTGATTTGCAGATCTTTTCTTCTAGTCTGTAGCATGTCTTTTTATCCTCTTTATAAAATCTTTCAAAGAACAGAAGTTTTTAATTTCCACGAAGTCCAGCTTATCAAATTTTTCTTTTATGGGTTGTGCTTTTGGACTTGTAGCTAAGAGCTATTCGCCTAAACTGAAGTCACAAAGATTTTCTCCAATTTTTATTCCGGAAGTTTAGTAGTTTCAGATTTTACGTTTAGGTCTGTGATCCTTTTTGAGTTAATGTTTGTTTATGGCGTGAGATATAGATCAAGAGTTATTTTGTTTTGTTTTGCATATGTATATACAGTCGTTACTGTACTGTTGGTTAAAAAGACTATCCTTTCTCATTGAAATACCGCTGCGTTTTTGTCAAAGTCAGTTGACATTGAATATGTGGGTCTGTTTTTTTGGACTTCCCATTACGTTCTAATATGTATATAATAGATACCTAATATGTCAACCCTTTCACCAATAACCACGCTGCCTTGATTACACTAGCTTTTTAGTAGTTCCTGGAATTGCGGTGTGAGCCCTTCAGTTTTGTTTTCCTTTTTTAAAATGGTTTTGCTTTACTTATTCCCTTTTCTTGCCATCTGAATTTTAGAATCAGCTTGTCAATTTCTTTTTAAAAACCCCTTGCTAAGATTTTTTTAACATTTTTTTGAATTAATCTTAAACATATAGATAACTAAGTACAGATAATCTTGTATTCCTCACCCAGTTTCTCCTAATGCTAACTTCTTATATTGTATAATCATAGTATAATTATCAAAACCAGGAAATTAACATTGGTAAAGTACTGTTAACTAAAAACTTATATGAATTTTAACAGTTTTCTATCAATGTACTTTTTCTGTTCTAGGATCTTATTTCACATTGTATTTAGTTTCTCCTTAGGCTGAAATTTTTATTGCAGTTACGGTGGATACATAAATCAATTGGGGGAGAATTAACATCTGAAAAATATTATCTTCCAATCCATGAACACGGTACATCTCTCCATTTTTTTTAAGTCTTCTTTTACTTTAAGCAATGCTTTGTCATTTTCCGCTCACAGAACTTGCACATTATTAGATATATATTTTTGTGTGTGTGTGTTATTGTAAATGATACTTTTTTTAAAATTAGAATTCCACTGTTTATTGCTAAGATAGGGAAATACAATTGATTATTATATATTGACCTTGATTCCTGCAACTTCATTAAACTCTTATTAGCTCTTATGGGCATTTTTGAAGTTTATTTTTGGGAATTTTTATATAGGCAGCCATGTTGTCTGTGAATAAAAACAGAACTTTCTTCCTTTCTAATGTATATGCTTTCTATTTATTTTTCTTGTCTCATTGTACTGGCAAGTACTTCCAATACAATGTTGAATGGCCGTAATGAGAGAGGACATCCTTGTCTTGTTCCACATTGGGGATGGGGGAGGGTAGCATTCAGTCATTCACCATTAAATCTGGTATCTCTAGGTCTTTTGTAGATGCTCTTTATATGGTTGAGGAAGTTCTCTTCTATTGACCTAGTTTACTGAGATTTTTAATCATGAATGGATGCTAAATTTTGTCAAATTATTTTATGCACCTACTGAAAGGATTTTTCTTCTTTAGTATGTTGATAATATCAATTACATTGGTTTGATTTTTGAATGTTGAGCTAGAATTTCATTGTCATGATAAAAACCACTTGATCATGATGTGTTATCTTTTTTATATGTTGGCTGGATTCAGTTTGCCGATACTTTGTGAATGATTGCATGTCTACATTCATGAGGGATGTTGGCTTGTAGTTTTCTTTTCTTGTCACATATTTGTCTGGTCTTGGTATAAAGGTAATACTAGACTCATGAAATGAAGTGGGAAGTGTTCTCTTCTGTATGCTGAAAGTTTATGTAGATAGGTGTTATTTAATGGTTGGTAACTCTACCATTCTACCAGTGAAACCATCTGGGCTTGGGCTTTTCCTTGTGGGAAGGTTTTTTAACTACAAATTAAATTTTTTTTAATGGTTGTAAGACTGTTCTGGCAATTTTGTTTCAAATGGGCTTTAGCAGATTGTTTTTCAAAGAATGTGTCTATTTCTTCTAGCTATTAAATTTATGGGCATAGAGTTGTTTGTAATATTCCTTTATCATCCTTTGTATGTGTAAAGGTTGTATTATGATGTCCACATTTCAGTTTCTTATATTTTCATCTTCCTCCTTTTTACTTTTGGTCATTCTGTTTAGGGTTTTATCAGTTTTATGGACCGTTTTGGTTTTACTGATTTTTCACTGTTTTTCCATTTTCTATTTCATTATTTTAAGCTCTTGTCTAATATTTTTCCTTTTCCTTATTTTGGGTTTAATTTACTCTTTTTCTAGTTTCTCAAGGTGGAAACAGATTATTGATTTGAGACATTTCTTTTCAAGATAAGCATGTAATACTGTAATTTTCCTTCCAAGTATTGCTTTACAGCAGCATAGCACAGGGAGATCAGCTCCTTGCTTTGCGATGACCTAGAGAGGTGGGATAGGGAGGGTGGGAGGGAGGCTCAAGATGGAGGAGATATGGGGATATATGTGTGCATATGGCTGATTCCTTTGTCGTACAACAGAAACTAACAGAGTATTATGAAGCAATTATACTCCAATAAAGATCTATTTTTAAAAAAAGAGTATTGCTTTAAATTTTGATACGTTGTGTTTTCATTTCCAGTTGATTCACAATAATTTATAATTTCCTTTGTGACTACTTATTTGACCAGTGGGTTATTTAGAAGTCTGTTGTTTACCAGTATGCTATTACTGATTTTTTGGCTCAAGTGTGACCTCCATCTAGCATCTATAGCTTCTAGGGCTTCTATGCACCAGAGTTCTGTAGCCCACACTCGGCATTTAGCAGTGTGTAAAACTTTTAGCTGAATTCATTATACTGTCTTGTACGTTAGCCTCATCTTCCCATTCTCTGTCGTGGGTGAGCCGGTACTCACATTCTATCTCTTCTCAAAGGTGCTTGTCTTTCCTTAAATTTGGGGCTAGTTGATACACAAAAACTGTGATGCATTCAAGAAAAGTTATGATTTTGCAGATTATTCTTTTTGGTAATGCAGGAGAAATTCCCAGCTTTCTACATCCAAAGGTAAAGACAGACATCTCAGTGCCATATATTTTAAGCTATAATTTGGGGAGCATTTTAGAGTTCTAGCCACAGAGGCAGAATGAGAGAAGTTAATGACTTTACATATTAAAATGCATTTTAAGGCTTCATTGCAGGCAGAACTGCATTTGCAGTCTCTCAGACTTCATGAAGCAGCCCTATTGTTTTGTTGTAATAAATTTTTTTTTTTTTGCGGTACGCAGGCCTCTCACTGTTGTGGCCTCTCCGTTGCGGAGCACAGGCTCCGGACACGCAGGCTCAGCGGCCATGGCTCACGGGCCCAGCCGCTCCACGGCATGTGGGATCTTCCCGGACCAGGGCATGAACCCGTGTCCCCTGCATCGGCAGGCGGACTCTCAGTCACTGTGCCACCAGGGAAGCCCTGTAATAAAATTTTAATTTGCTAACCACCGTGACATTCTCAGTCTCTACACGAGGTAACAGGAAGGAGTTCCTGCATGTATTACCAAGGCTCCCTTCTTTTTTAATGTAAGTTGCTGGCACATTTTGTGCCCTTTGTGAATGAACGACAGAGGTCAAGAGGTTGAGGCTGGGCTTATTTGTTTATTCGGATAGTACAAGTGGCTACTCAGTAGTAGAGTAGAACATCTGTATAAGAAGCTCAGCTTCGGCTCAGCTCCTCCTTGATCGTCTGGTGTTGGAAGAGCCTGTAATTAGGTACTTCATTCCAGCCTAGTTATTGTTGAATGAACAGAATTCAAGGGAACCATCTGTTGTACAGGGTTTTAGAATCATGATTGACAAAGATATGTGACATCCAATATGAAGACATCTTTTTTTTCCCATTGCAAAATAGTTTGGCTAATTTAAAACTTAAACCTTTAGGAGGAAAAGGCTAGTTTATGCAAATGATTCTAAGATGTTTTAGAAGACTTTAACTATGTTTTTTTTTTTTTTTTTTGGCTGCGTCGGGGCTTAGTTGCAGCATGCAAGATCTTTCGTTGAGGCACACAGGCTGTTTGTTGCAGCACGTGGGCTTCTCTCTAGTTGTGGCACGCAGGCTCTAGAGCACACAGGCCCAGTAGTTGCGGTACGCAGGCTTAGTTGCCCTGCAGCATGTGGGATCTTATTTCCCTGACCAGGGATTGAACCCGCATCCCCTGCATTGGCAGGAGGATTCTTAACCATTGGATCACCAGGGAAGTCCCGAGAACTTTAGCTATCTAATTGTGGTCACCATGATCTGATTTTTTGGTTACTAATTTAACTTTATTTATTGCTTTTCTTTTTCAGAAAATTCTTCCAGGAGGAAATACATCATTTGATGTAGTTTTTCTTGCAAGAGTAGTAGGAAATGTAGAAAATACTTTATTTATTAATACATCTAATCATGGGGTATTCACTTACCAGGTAAGAATCAGAATGAAAACTTTATTTATAAAATACAGTTATCATCTTTAACCTGTCATATGACAACCTTTTGGGAACTCTTTTCAAAAATTCAGGGGATAAGGGAAAATGTAAGAGTTTAGATTCAGAGAATTTTTTTTAAACTTTTAATTTTATAGTAGAGTTGATTAACAGTGTTGTAATAGTTTCAGGTGTACAGCAAAGTGGCTTAGTTATACATATATGTGTATCTGTTCCCTTTCAAATTCTTTTCCCATTTAGGTTGTTACATAATACTGAGCATTTTTATACTTACAGCTGTGTTTGTGAATATCCCTGTTCACATCAGACTATGAAAGAAATGCTCTTAAAGCTACAGCTACAGTGTTATTGTAAGATTGGTTGGCAAAAGAACAGTTAAAAATATTTTCACAGTGACTCTAGATTTTTTTGTTTTTGTTTTTGTTTTTTACTTTTTGCACGCTTACGAAGTGATAATAGTTTCAGGATCAAAACTTATGTGCCTGCTTTTCTTTGGTAATTATATTGTTTAAAATTTTTGATAAACTCTTTTCTATGTGCAATCATTGTTTGGGTTATTAAAGAAAGTGAATGTTTTGTGAATCAAGATTTTTATATGTCAAGATTACTAAGAATAATTACTTATTTGACACGGTGCTACACACTTTACATGCACTTCTGCCTGCATTACAGATACTGTTATTCTCACTTTTTTAGATGAGTAAGATGAAGTTGAGAAAGGTTAAATAATTATGCTACTAGTAAGTTACTGAGCAGGGATTCAAACCCATGTCTTTATAACTACAAAGACCGTCCTCTTAACCACTGAGTATATTGCCCATGGAACTCAATTGTTTAAATCCTTACTTGGCTAGTGTCTTACTTTACAGTTTTTATGCTTTTGGTTTTGAACATTTCTTCTCCACTGCCCAGGACAGTTCATGTATTTTGGAAATTAGTGTCAGAGTAAACATTCCATTTTAGTCAAGAATCATATCTTATGCTTATTTATGGTGAACAAGTCTTTAATGGTCGTTCGATAGGCAGTGTATACTTTTGAAGCCAGTATAGATGAATAACTTTGACAGGCTGTACAGAGCACTTGGCATATACTTGTTGAGTACATGAAAAGACCACCATGAGAATGTGAAGACCTGTGCCCTGCAGTGGTGCCCCCGACTGACCTGTTTGTGGCCCACGGGTGACCCGAGGGTCATGATCAGGTTGTTCTCAAGGTGAGCCTCAGTGCCAGGTGTCTTCACCCCCTCGCATCTCCTCTTTCACCACGTCTTCCTCTTCAGTGTACCTCGAGTCTGTCTAGCTCTCTCCCCTTCGCTCCCACTGCTCTCTCCCAGGCCATCCCCACCTCTCCCTGGGTGGCGACCCAGGAGCCTCCGACCGCCCGTCCTCTCCTCCGCAGCCCCTCCTACGGTGCGTTGTTCACGCTGTAGCCAGAGCGGTCTTCTCTGAGCATAAATCAGATCCAGTCAGCTCCTCTCGTAAATCCTTAAGTTTTCCCATTGCTCTCAGAGCAAAGTGAAGGCTTCTGACCAAGGCCAGCAAGGCTCTAAGGATCTCTCTGACTCCCGTGTAGCTCTCCCACCTCATCCCATTTGACCATGGTTCTCATCTTATTCTTTGTCTTCAAACAAGCCACAACCTTTCCTGCCTCCTGCCCTTTGCCTGTGTACTTCCCCTTGCGGAATACACTTTCACTGTTGGCTTGTTCTCATCTGTCAGGTGACATCAGCTCACGTCATTTCCCCATCCACCCTCTCTTAAAGAATATTCCCACCCTCACTCCAGCCAGTTACTCTGTATCACATTACCCATTTTTCTAAACCTTTTTATTGTTATCTAGGCTGTCCCTAACATTAGGATGTGAGTTTCATGAGAGCAGGCACATTATCTGTCTCGTTCACTGTTGAATTGTTCAGCAGTGCCTGTGGTTGTACCTAGCACATCATAGGCACTTGATAAATATTTGTCATTTAAATGACTGGCTCACCCTGTTTGGTCAGCCCACATTCCTATGGAGGAATGACCTTGGACTGTGCTTCGTATTTAAGAGATTGTCTGGGCCCTACATCCATCTTCTGATGGTTGGAACAGGGAAATCTTTTAATTCCCTGTTTCCTCCTTTTGTCTATCCCATGACCTCGTGAAGGACTACTATCATTTTCATTTCTAATATAGAAATCATTCCAAATGTATATATATGTGCATTTATATATATATATATATATATATATATAAAAGAATATATATATATTCTTGATGTATATCAAGAATTTTATGTATATCAAATAGGTAGCCAAACAAGTATAGAAACTATATGTGTGTTCCTTTTAAAGGGAGTTAAGATTTTTTACATAAGTTAACCTCACCAGTTTTCCCTAGATCAATCAGTTATAACTATAAAAATGTTCTAAAACTCTAAAAGCAACTAAAATTGCATTTTTTTTCCTCCTTGGAATCAGGTATTTGGTATTGGAGTTCCAAATCCATACCGATTGAGGCCGTTCCTTGGGGCCAGAGTCCCTGTGAATAGCAGTTTCTCGCCTATAATAAACATACACAATCCTCACAGTGAGCCTTTACAGGTGAGTTTATGGTGGTGATTTTGAATGTGTTTAACTTTAGTGGAAATTAATGCTTAGCGTGAAATCTCAGTTTGTTATAGTTTTCTTTTCTTTTTTTTTAATTTATTTTTTATTTTTTTTAACATCTTTATTGGGGTATAATTGCTTTACAATGGTGTGTTAGTTTCTGCTTTATAACAGAGTGAGTCAGTTATACATATATATATGTTATAGTTTTCAAGACTATTTAAAATAACATGGGACTGCATAATAGTACTAAAGAGAGATATTCTTTTATTGCAGCTTGTAGTCTGAATTTGGGGTTATATCAGTCCAATTATCGAATTTTTGGAACCATTTTTAAAATGACTGTGGTTTCTCTGGTGTTAGTTTTAAGCACCTGACATGTAATTTAAGAAGAGTTTTCATCTATACAAGGCCACTGCTTTTCTTGCCTTCAGCTCCTTCTGTCCCAGTATAAATTTTTTAAACCAGTATTTGTATTTATTTCTAATAATAATAAGTTTTTGGTGATGGCAGCCAGGAAATTAAAATCCAAGGAAAGGGTAATATAGAACCATTGATTAAAAGCCAACTTATTTTTTTATTTTAAAAAATCCAACTCCATATCTTACCCAATGTTTTAGTAGTAATTATTTTCACATTTGAAATCCCTCCGCACTCGTCCCTTGTCTCTAAGACAGTGGGCATGACTGGCGTCGCTCCTTCAAATATTTCCTAAAATTAAAATCCCCACCCCATGGCCCCAGTGACTTCCAGCCGTGTAACATTTGCTGCCACTGTAGCTTCTAGTTTTGTTGTCTGCGTTGGAAGGAGATGTGGATGCTTTCCAGAACAGTCCTTAGTGTCCACACCCAGGGCCCGTAGAGTTCTTTAGGACCCCAATACTGCAGAACTCAGTGGTGGCTTGAAAATAGCAGGTGCAGGGAAAATACCATGCATTGTGGCAAAAGCCACAGCGCTTTGGCAACCGAAATGGTTTTTGCCAGCCTAGAACCCCCTGGTAGAAGGGCTCACAAACAGTGAAGGTGAAAACAAGAAAGAACGAGACAAGATACTCAGAGCTGGGATTATGAAATGCTTAGGAATTACATGCTGAAGTAGCAGGAAAGTTTTCACCCCCAAACTTGGCTGACACGGGGTGAGGATAGCTACGAATAAAAATACTCCACCCAAATTTTGATTATTTGTAGCTGGATATCTTGATCATAAAAGAGGAAAATGCTCTTGTCTCCCGCTTTTACAAGTGAAAAGTATTTCCTCTCCATCATCAGTCTGTCGTTTGTATCCTTTTGCTACTTTGGATAATGGTGAATTTTCCCTGTTCTGGCTAACTTTTATTACAAATCTATACAGAAACCTCATAAATTCTTGCTACTTTTTTTTTTTCTTGACTGTTTTCAGTCCAAGACACAAAAACTGTCCTCTCATTCTCTCAGACCCTGCCGCATGAGTTGCCACACTCTTCTGTAGCAGCAATGTTACAAAGCACCCAGGGATGTGCCCTCTCTGTGGTTGCCACACCATGGACTGAGGGTCTCGCTTCCTGCTTGGAAGGATGGAGGTTACAGACTCAGCGGATTTGGCTAATCTACGGTTACTTTAGTAGCCTTACAGTCTGTGCCTTTGCTCCTCAGCCTTTGGAGTCATCAAGCTATAATCTAGAAAAAATATCTCTGAATTCAATAGTGATTTTTTTTCTTTTGTTCATCTAGTCTTTTTCAGTTATATAACATTTCAATTCAAGATTTACCACAATGGACTTTTCATCAGCGCACAGGAGAGCAAATGGAAAGCCAAAGTTGCCCTCTTAGAAACAATAGATTGTTTATCTGGAGTGCTTTTTTTTTTTTTTTTAAGGGAAAATCCAAGTCCCTACCTGATGGGCGCTTTTTTAATTGAGGTATAACTGACATATAACATTATATCAGTCTCTATATACAGTATAGTTTAACTATAGATAATAAACCAGTATTTGTATTTATTCCTATTTATTATTTATTCGTATTTATTATTTATTACTATATACAGTATAGTTTAACTATAGTCACTATCATGTCTGTCACATTCCTGTGACTTAATTGCCTTTATAACTGGAAGGTTGTGTGGAAGGCAGATAGTATTGTAAAGCAAGAAATTACATCTGATTTGTTCATTATACAACACAAACACACGAGTATGTTCTCATTGAAAAAAGAATGTTAACACTTCAAACGTGTGAGGCAAAAGTCCCTTTGAACTTGCTACCTTCCGGTCCAGTGCTGTCCAGCAGAACTCTCTGTGCTGATGGAAAAGTTCAGTGTCTGCTCTGTCCAGTACAGTAGCCACCAGCCACAGGTGGCTGTTGAGCACTTGAACTTGTGGCTGGGGTGGCTGAAGAACTGAACATTCAGTTTTATTTTATTTCGATTAATTTCAATTTAAATAACCACATGTAGCTGGTGACTGTACATTAGCACAGCTCGAGGCCTGAACCCTTCCTCGGCGATACCCTTCATGTGATCTCCGTGTGTCACATCAGGCCTTTTTCTGTGTGCTTGTGTGCAGATATGTGGGCACACAAAAATTAACATTTTTCGTGGGAATCTTTTTACATAAATTATATTTTGTATATATTGTTGGCTTCCTTTTTTTCTCTAAACTTTATTAAATTAGGATAACTAGCACTGGACTAAAAATCAGGAGTGTGTTGTCCTAGTTTTAACGTAATCTGTCCTTTGATTTTATAGTTCAGCCTTTATCTGTCCTCATTTCCTTATTCCCTTTCCTGTTATACATAGCCTACCTTTGTCATCTTACGTTTCCAAACATTGTTAGGCTTGTGTCCTTAATACCTTGGAAGATGAAATGAAATAATACATGATGTTTTCTGGTTTTTAGAAAAAGTTCTGCAGTCACCCCATCAGTTAAGGTGCTGTTACTGTTAACACAGTACTGTAGGGGAACACTAATAAATTGGAAGGCAAGTGATAGTACTCAGAGAAAATCCTAGCTCATTAGTCTTTGCTAAATGCATCACTGTAATGACAACACACACAAAAAAAACAAAAACAAAAACCTTTAAGCATATGCTAAAGTATTGCTGTTTTTCCTGCTTTATCCTTTTTTTGTGTACTCCTAGAGGACTTCTGTGATAAAACAAGTAAAGGTTTTCTACCCATTCTCATTCACCCCAAATTTGCATTTAATTAAATATATTCTTTATTTTTAAGAGATAGGGTTACCTGCCTTTAAAGAAAAGTCTCCTGCCATATGACCCTTCTATTCCTTGGTATTTATCCAAGAGAAAGGAAAGCACGTGAAAACCCAAAGACTTATACAATGTGGTATTCATAACAGCGTTGTGACCAAACATCTGTAGTGACCAAAAACTGGAAACACCCCAAATGTCCATCAACAAGTAAATGGATCAAAAATTGTGGCATATCCATAAAATCAAAAAGAAATGAACTGGACTTCCCTGGTGGCACAGTGGTTGAGAGTCCGCCTGCCCATGCAGGGGACACGGGTTTGTGCCCCGGTCCGGGAAGATCCCACGTGCCGCGGAGCGGCTGGGCCCATGAGCCATGGCCGTTGAGCCTGCGCATCCGGAGCCCGTGCTCCGTGACGGGAGAGACCACAACAATGAGAGGCCCGCATATTGCAAAAAAATAAATAAATAAAAATAAAAATGTATAGTTTAGGGCTTCCCTGGTGCCGCAGTGGTTAAGAACCTGCCTGCCAATGCAGGGGACACAGGTTCGAGCCCTGGTCAGGGAAGATCCCGCATGCTGTGGAGCAACTAAGCCTGTGCGCCACAACTACTGAGCTTGCGCTGTAGAGCCCGCAAGCCACAACTGCGGAGCCCATGTGTCGCAACTACTGAAGCCCGCGAACCTAGAGCCCCGTGCTCTGCAACAAGAGAAGCCACCGCGATGAGAAGCCCACGCACCACAAGAAAGAGTAGCCCCTGCTCGCTGCAACTAGAGAAAGCCCGTGCGCAGCAACGATGACCCAATACACCAAAGATAGATACATAGATAGATTAAATTATTTTTTTAAATGTATAGTTTATTGTACATGAATTATACCTCTGTAAACAGTTTTTAAAAATCATGGGTTGGGACTTCTCTGGTGGTCCAGTGGTTAAGACTCCACTGTCTTAGACAGTACTCCCAATGCAGGGGGCCCGAGTTCGATCCCTGGTCAGGGAACTAGATCCCACATGCCGCAACAAAGATCCCGCACTCGGCGATGAAGATCCCGCTGCTGCAACTAAGACCTGGCATGGCCAAATAAATAAATAAATATCTAAAAGAAACAATCATGGGTGTAGGTACAAGCCAAAGAGATATATTAATAATAGCTGTGATTTTGCTACAGAAGTCTTCAAATATTTTCATACTGCACTGATAATTGTTGCATATGCTGAAGAATGATATGCTCTTCACTATGTCACAATTACAGTAGTTATTAGATCTACTGCTAGATCTTGTTATAAATGTGTGAATAAAGAAGCATCTGTGTTACTATGAGAACTGTAAAATTCATAAACTGTTTCCTTAGGAAAAAAATAGAAATAAATGTCCTACGGTTGGATTTCCTAAAATCCAGTCTCTGAAACAGCTACACTAGTTCCGAGTTCAATATTTCAAAGTTACCTTGTTTTAATTAAATATACCACCATTACTTACCCATGTGAGCACTGCCTCTGGTGATGTGACACCACACTTATCCTACATTTATATCTGTAAATGTCTTTAGATTTTTTTTTTCTGTTGAACAGTTAGGGTTTCAAACGTTTCTGTATAACAGCAAATCACTTGCATTGAAAACATGATTTTGACTTAACCATCACGCGCTCCTTTGTCACAGGTTGTAGAAATGTACTCTAGTGGAGGAGATCTTCACCTCGAGCTTCCGACAGGTCAGCAGGGCGGCGCCAGGAAGCTGTGGGTGAGTGCTGGCGTGTTCTCTCTTGTGAACTCACATGAGACCAGTTTCTCGCTTAAATACACCAGAAAATACTTAACTCCTCATCACCCGAAGAAATACGGGTGACGTCTCTGTAATTATTGTCTTAATATTAAATGTGTATCAAACTAACACAACATTGTAAAGCAACTCCAGTAAAAATTAATTTAAGAAGATAAATAAAAAATTTATATCAAATATACTTGGAAATTGGAGAGACAGAGAGAAATAGAATAGTAGTTTTTGGAAAGAGCAGTGAACAAAAATTGGAGTAAGCTCTAACCCACTGTGTGAAAGAAAGAGGTTTTAACTACTCTTCCTCGGAATAATATTAGTAAAGTTGTCTCTGAATCTAATCATTTATAATATGCTTTACACTAATATTGAAGAAGAAGAAGAAGAAAAAAAAAAAACGTGAGAAGGACCTGCTGCATGTTTTAAGGTAAAGCATTGCACACGCACACTCACTGTTGATGGAGAAGATGCCATTTGCAGAGGGAACATAGTCAGGCCCTCCTGATGACTTAGAAACTTTAAATTTTTAGGCTGTCTGTAGCCACGTTTAATGCTATCTAATATTTGACAGTACTCTGTGTCCATGGTTAGAGAACCACTTTTTCTTGGAGAATACTAGCAAATATTAACAGATTAATGAATACCTAGCAACTACCTTATTTACAAAGGTTCCTGCCATAGGAGGGTTGTTTTTATTTTTTTTAATGCTGCCTACCCAGCTTTAATCAAAGAAGGGAAAGTCATAGAAAATGCAGTTCTTGTACCGAGGTCACTAAAATCGCTGCTCATTCGTAATTGAAGACACGCGGACCTGACCACTCTGAATAGGTTCTGAACATCGAAGTTTCTTTGTTAATTGCTCTGTTAAACACACACAGCCTCTAGATTCTGTCATCTGACCAGTCTCAGCCAGGGAAAGGACGTGGAAGGGGCGCTTTTAGGATATTGACTTGAACCTTTAGAAACCAATTTGTCAGTGACTAGGTTAACTTCTAAGATGTAGAAACACTCTAGCAGGTAGAAATACGTAATGGATGGTCTCTTTATATCCTTTCACAAAAATGATTTACCTTGAAATTACGATATTGTTTGAAAAGCCTTTGGGAGAAATAGTATATAAAACAGTGCTTCATAGAATTAACTATAAGCAATTAAATTTGTATTATAATTCTAGATAGAAGAACTAAGAATTGCCTATGAAATATAACCAGATTCTAGTAAATAAACATAAAAAAATTCAGATTTCTAATTAGTTAAGAACTGTAATGAATGGTAGCAGGTATGGCAGATTGTTTTAATACTCCTAGCAGCTACGAGAAAAGATATAGTGACTTATTCCTACAAATCTAGAGTGAGAAAAAGTCAATTGGCCTTGACCTCACCCCCAGCCCATTTCAGTGTACATGAGAAAACCCCAGCTCCTAAAGATGGGGAAGTGGATGGTCTATCTCTAGTGGCCCCAGGAGGGTTCCAGTCACCTCTTTCCTACTTTGAGATTAAAAAGTTAAGAGAGTAGAGGCAAGTGAAGACCAGTAAATTCTAAACCATGAGGATTTCTTAAAATAGGCCAAAAGGTGTGTGCAGAAAAGCTCTGGTGGTCCCGAGGGAGCCAGATTATTCAAAAACCAGGAAAAGAATTATACCTCAAAAACAAATTTTTTTTCCAGTGAGTCTTCCTTCTAGTGTATATGTAAGTGTTCTTTTTTTATGAGCCTAAAAAGTTACGCTGTCTTACATGCTCAGAGCCTTACTGAACACGGTTGGTGAACTGTGGATTTGCTTGGGAAGCTTTGTTTTGTTAGGTTTTAAATGAAAGGAGAGCAGAGTCCACGCTCTCTTGGTTAGCATTTAAAGAGAATCCTAAATGGGCAGAAGACCTAAATAGACATTTCTCCAAAGAAGATATACAGATTGCCAACAAACACATGAAAGGATGCTCAACATCACTAATCATTAGAGAAATGCAAATCAAAACTACAATGAGGTATCACCTCACACCAGTCAGAATGGCCATCATCAAAAAATCTACAGACAATAAATGCTGGAGAGGGTGTGGAGAAAAGGGAACCCTCTTGCACTGTTGGTGGGAATGTAAATTGATACAGCCACTGTGGAGAACAGTATGGAGGTTCCTTAAAAAACTAAAAATAGAACTACCATATGACCCAGCAATCCCACTACTGGGCATATACCCAGAGAAAACCGTAATTCAAAAAGAGTCATGTACCACAGTGTTCACTGCAGCTCTATTTACAATAGCCAGGACATGGAAGCAGCCTAAGTGTCCATCGACAGATGAATGGATAAAGAAGATGTGGCGCATATATACAATGGAATATTACTCAGCCATAAAAAGAAATGAAATTGAGTTATTTGTAATGAGGTAATGAGGTGGGTGGACCTAGAGTCTGTCATACAGAGTGAAGTATGTCAGAAAGAGAAAAACAAATACCGTATGCTAACACATGTATATGGAATCTAAAAAAATAAAACTGGTTCTGTAAAACCTACGGGCAGGACAGGAATAAAGACACAGACGTAGAGAATGGACTTGAGGAGAAGGGGAGGGGGAAGGGTAAGCTGGGACGAAGTGAGAAAGTAGCATTGACATATGTACACTACCAAATGTAAAACAGATAGCTAGTGGGAAGCAGCCGCATAGCACAGGGAGATCAGCTCAGTGCTTTGTGATCACCTAGAGGGGTGGGATCGGGAGGGTGGGAGGGAGACGCACGAGGGAGGAGATATGGGGATATATGTACATGTGTAGCTGATCCACTTTGTTATAAAGCAGAAACGAACACACCATTGTAAAGCAATTATACTCCAATAAAGATGTTAAAATAAATAAATAAAACATTATTTAGCTAAAAAAAAAGTATATTCTGAAACTATTGCATATGAAGAGACAGTTAATGAGTATGCCGCTAAAAAGTGTAGGGTAAAAAGTATTACAGAGATGTATCAGGAAGTCCATCAATTATAAGAATTTTGTTTAAAAAAGTAATAAATTAAAAAAAAGAATCCTTTTTGCAGTGACCTAGAGAGGTAGGATAGGGAGGGTAGGAGGGAGGCTCAAGAGGGAGGGGATATGGGGATATATGTATGCATATGGCTGATTCACTTTGTTGTACAACAGAAACTAACACAGTATTGTGAAGCAGTTATACTCCAGTAAAGATCTGTTAAAAAAAAGAGAGAATCCTGTAAACTTCTGGAAAAGCATTTTCCCTCTGATGGTGATGTCTCTGTTGTTGAGAGAATTTCAGGACTGAATTATATACCCAAGCACCAGCAATACATCAAATAATAATTGATTTTTATAGATTAACTCTACCTCTTAATGATGATTTTGCCGCTGACAGTTTGTTTTCATATAATTTTATTTCTTTCATTTTGCTCAGTTTTACACGCCATACTTCATTAGTTTTAAGATATGTGTGTTTTTATCATTTAACATCCTCCAAAATTGGACTGTGTGTTATAATCAGTGGAATGAATATATTTGTTTAATTGGCAATATGTTTTTTTTTTCTTAGTATATAAAATAATAGTGCATCTTTCAGGTGATGTCATCTTATTCAGTAAACTGTGGTGGTTTTGCTACATTATGGTCTGTTAACTTGTCAGGAAATTCCTCCTTACGAAACCAAGGGAGTGATGAGAGCCAGTTTTTCATCTAGAGAAGCAGATAACCACACAGCTTTCATAAGAATAAAGACTAATGCTTCAGACAGCACGGAGTTTATCATTCTTCCAGTTGAGGTGGAAGTTACCACAGGTGAGTGGATGGCTAAAGGAGCTGTAAGTTTGTTTTGGTTTCAGTACATCCTACTCTGGCGAAGTGAAATATAATTGTTTACTTTTCTTTTTTTCCAAGCTCCTGGAATTTATTCCTCAACTGAAATGTTAGATTTTGGTACACTGCGAACACAAGGTAAAAAAAGAGACAGTGTCTCTATAGGTCTTTTTAAAAATCCCAGTATTCATTGCTGAATGGCTCTACTCTAGCTCCTTTGTAATTAATTCAGCTTTGAAAGTTATTTCTCAGTGGGTTACATGATCTTGTAGAAATCTGCTTGTGGGAACTCAGAGCCCTTAGTGATTTATGCCCCATTCCTCTGAGGGATACCACTGCTTACAAGATGGGAAAGCAATGTCATGGGTAACTTAAGTCTTCTAAAAGGAAGATTGAGGCATCAAGTAGTTTCTTAGTTTCTTAATCCAGTTTCTCACCTGTTTAGTTATGCTGAATCTTTTCTTTTAAAAGTAAAATAAAGGACGTAAAAAGATTGACTTCTGGATTTCTGTTTAGATATGGATTATTCAATTGCCTTATAATAATGTAATGTTAGCAATTGGTCCCCAGTGGTCAGAGAAAGAATTCAAATTCTAAAATTGAAAATAACCCAAAAAAGGATTTATTAAGAGAAAAGTAAGAGTACCTGTAATATGGGATTCCTGTGGGCCATATGTAATTAAAAATTTGGTTGTTTAGGATTGAAGACCCATTTTTGAAAATCAGATTTGGTTTTAATATAATAACTTTATATTGTACTTTACTGAATTGCTTCATTATGCTTTGCTGGAAAACTAAAAGATAGTGATAACGTCAATTTCAATGAAAACTTGTTTTGTTTTGTCTTTTGGTCTGATTGTTTAGGAGGGGGCAGTTCCTATAGTACTCACTGTCCTTAAGAGTAAGGCAGTTCCTGTCTAGGAATGTGATTGTCACATTCTTTTTATAAATGTGATTGTTATTCTAGTTCACATTCTAAAATACATTCCGTCTGATATCTAAGAAGAGAAAGATTCTAACTTGCTATAAAGCATACCATTTTAAGAAATATTTTCTTTTCCTCAATTTTAACAGATCTACCAAAAGTTTTAAATCTTCATTTATTAAATTCAGGAACAAAAGATGTACCAATAACAGTAAGTTTTTACTTTTCTTTTTCCTAATTTATATATTCTTTGTTTTTAAACTTATGACAAAGTTTAACATGATTAAACTCTTGCTCTAAAGGAATTGTTTTGTGGTGACCTGGTGACACTTTGGTTCAAAGCGTGATACAAGAAGCCTGTTCTGCCTCTCTAATCACCAGATTTTCAGGATGAGAAGGGCATGTGGACAGTCTTCTCCAAGCTAAGTGTGAACCAAAGTTCATGAGGTTCCTGTTTAGGCCTGTAGAGTCTGATAAATCCTAGGATCTGCATGCCATGTGCAGAGAAAACCGGGTTGTTAGACTTAAGGTACGATTAAGTAAAAAGAGAGAAGAAAAGATTAAGATGAGTTGGAAAGAGAAATAAGGAAGCAAAGAAATCCGGTAGGTAGTGGTTGAGTGCTGTTAGCATTTGTCTCTGGTACCCCTTCTAACCCGCAGCTGCCATAGTTACCCTTGACAGCATACTGTAAACTAGGGTCCTCTCTCCCCCTCACACATACTCGCAGAACAGGTGACTTTGATGCCTTGTAAGTGGAAGTGGAGTGTCATGAGATGGTGAGCAAGGTCACTGTGCATTAAAGTGTGGCTACCTGGGATGACCATCTCTCCCATCACTTGGGGTTTGTATACTCTCTTCTCTTTGGTCTCTATTCCACCAGTTGGTGGTAAACTCTGGGTTTGGGCAGGGATGGGCAACAGTCTCTTAAGTCTCAAAGCTCATCTGATCTATTTCATTTTATCAGAGTTCTCTGAATTTAGGTTTTCTGACATCAGCACAGGTTATTAATAAAAATATACTGCTTTCCTCTTCTCTTATTCTCTTTGTAACTTGGGGACCTCACCAGGAGGTGAGGTTGTGAGCTAAAGCAAAATCTGGGTAGACCTTGCTCACTAGTAGAGTCATAGTCTCTAACACCCTTTCTGGGTAAGGACTCTTCTGAGATAATGTCCTGCCATATGACCTAGTATTTCTTCCTGCTAGGTAGGAGAACTGGGGGTGGGTTAGGGGAATGGAGTCTGGTAAAGCAGCGGTCCCCAAACTTTTTGGCACCAGGGACTGGTTTTGTGGAAGACAGTTTTTCCACGGACCGGGGTGGGTGTGGGGGGATGGTGGGGGATGGTTCAGGCATAATGCCAGCGACGGGGAGCTACAGATGAAGCTTCGCTTGCCCACCACTCACCTCCTGCTGTGACCCAGTTCCTAACAGGCCGCAGACTCCGCTACCGGTCTGCGGCCCGGGGGTTGGGGACGCCTATGGTAAAGAACTTCCCCCAGTCTACAGTGGAGCTGAAACTACCCCAACCTGAGGTTCCTAGCACTCCAGTGTTAGGCCGACTGAGGAACCTGCTCTGAAGGTGCCTGAGTCTGCTGGGGTTCATGCCCCTGCTCCTCGGTGAAGTCTTCAAGGGCCTGGGACCCTTCCACAGATGACAAGGAACAGCTCCTTTGACCTAGCCACTCTGATACTATATTTTTCTTAAAAAAAAAAAAAAAAAAAGAAAGAAAAAAACCACATAATGCTGACTGTTACTGCTATATTGAGGGGTTAGTGATTGTTTTTGCCTCTTTAATCTGTATTGAAATTTTTACAAGTCTATAGAAAAATGAGCAAAATAAGAGCAATATAGGGCTTCCCTGGTGGCACAGTGGTTGAGAGTCCGCCTGCCGATGCAGGGGACACGAGTTCGTGCCCCGGTCCAGGAAGATTGCGCGTGCAGTGGGGCGACTGGGCCCGTGAGCCATGGCCGCTGAGCCTGCGCGTCTGGAGCCTGTGCGTCTGGAGCCTGTGCTCCGCAACGGGAGAGGCCACAACAGTGAGAGGCCCGCGTACTGCAAAAAAAAAAAAAAAAAAAAAAAAAACA